ATCTTCTCTCCCACCTATCCGCTCCACTATCCACCTTCTATCACTGCGCCCCCCTCTATTTATTTCAGAGCCCCCTTCCCCTCCCCCATTTCTGAAGAAGGGTCCAGACCCGAAACGTCAGCCTTCCTGCTCCTCTGATGATGCCTGGCCTGCTGTGTTCCTCCAGCTCCACATCTTGTTATCTCTGAATGTATTTACTGTTCATTTCTAAGTATTTTGGATTTGAGATTTTTCCAACAATGATAACCTGTCACTCAATAGAAGCAAATCTTCAAATTATGAAAACTAGGCTGATAGTCCAAACTGTCTCCTTAAATGTGATGTAATATTTCAAATGACAGTTCTAACTAAAGTAATGCAGCAACATCTTCTGACCCAATGTACCGCATTGTTTTGAAAGAGCTGGTGTAAATAACAGTAGGACGACCCATATATGAAGTGCTTTCCAGTGTAAGACTGAACGATCGTATGATTTTACAAGTATGTTACAAGGTCTGTTTGATATAAAATGCTTATGGATTTCTCAGGAAAAAGAGCCCTCTGCAATGTAAAGATGTCAGGAAAGTAAAGGAATAGAAGATAACCACCAAATTATTAAAATAAAACTTGGGCTATGGAAATGTTCTCCTCTATAGAGCAGGAGTCCAGGTCTCTTCCCTAGACAAACAAAGGCTATGAATAAACGTGGACAGTGCAATGCATCTGCCATGTAATGTAAACTTGTAAATCACATTATTGGTATACACAAGCTGTTTGATACATTTATGATACTGTTTACATGACTGTCATCTAGTTTGTGAACTGATAGGAGCTAAGAAACAAACAGAGAACATCACAGATAGAGGTAGTTTGTCATTTGTAAGATATGATTGGTTGAAAATTATGTTGCAATCATGGATATCATAAGATTAATTAAATAACCAAGCTAATAACTAAATTGAAACAGCTATTATGATAAATATCAATGTTTCCATGCTTATTGTTTGATATGCATTGGAGCTAGCATTTTTTTTCTTAGTTCAGAGGTATGGTGGTAGCTACGATTCTTTGCACAAAAATCCAATACTTAACATGTTGTATTGTGACTTCCGTTGGAATAGAAAATTGTCAAACAACTGCAGAATAACTGGAAGGTTATAACTAATTTGTACAAGATTATACTTATAAGATCTTATACAGCCATTTAATTTAGAAGTCACTGGATGTAATGCAATTTGTGTTTTGCAGATCTTGTTTGCCTGAATGTAAATATCTCTGAGGTCACAAATAAGTTAAACCTATCTGGAAAAATATCTTTGGTAAGTAAAAACTGTTATGCAACAGGAAGTCTGTCAAAAATTGTGGCACGTGGGATTGACAACAATATGCTCGTAGCTGGACTACATCATCAGTGATATTAGATCACATGGGAGTGGGAGCCGAGAGGAGAAGGTTCAAATGAAATGCTGCTCAATCAGGCTGCTGTGTAACTTGTAAATATTTCATAAATGTTTATCAAGTTGCACTAGTACAGTGACCTGTTCCCAACTGTCTCAGTCTCTCAGACCCTCTTGGGATATTCATGCAAATATGCGAAGAAATATTCACACAATGGTGACTTCCTGGAATTTTGCTAAAATGGTTTCCAGGTATTTTGTTTGTTGGACATATCTAACACAATGAGATGAGTAAAGTGGGAATACATTAAGTTGATGCTGTTGCCTCCATCCCTGCCTCAGTTCATTTGCTGCTGCAAGTCTCATCTATCTCTTTGTTAGCTGAATACTTGACCATTCCAGTAGTGTCCAACCAACCTTCATAAACCTCAGTTCATCCAAAATTCTGTTGCCACAATCCTGACCTTTTTTGTCATTCCTCATACATGCATTGAATTCAGCTCCGGCAACACCTCTACCTCAATATACTCCCCCTATATTTGCAAACAGCGCAGTGATAATAATAAAATACTATGTTGTTGCTGGATTAGTAATTCAGGCAGGCTGAGCTAATAATCGTGAGACATTAGTTCAAATCCCACAGCAGCAGTAAGTGAAGGAGATGATTGGAATGAAACATGTGAAGGTGAGAGAGGGAGGAAATCAAATGTCAAGTTTTCCAATTTGGGGCAGGAGAATGAATCTGTTCAACACAATAATCACTAAAACAGAAGAAAAGAGGTGAGGGAGGGGTCAATCGTTGAACTGAAATGAAGACTAATCCATGGGAATAGCTATAATGCATGCAGGGTTCCAACCATAAACATCTCATATTTGGAGAAAATGGAATGTTGCTTGACGTTATCCAGGGGGGCAGGGTGTTCAGGAATGGTGACTTTTTTGGGCTCTGTTAAAGGTGATAAAAACATGTCTTTTCTGGCCATCCTGGTGGGAAATAAAGGTGTAGAGTGAATAGGAAGTTGGAAGTGAAAAGGAAACTATTAGCACCAGGAAGCTGTTGGTAAAGGTCCAAGGTTGAGTGATGGAAACAGTTTGTTAGAGACTGCTTAAGGGGAAACAAACAGCCAAGCTCGGCAGAAATGATGGTTCAGCCACTCATCAGCTTATTTACCTCTTAAACAAAACATTATGGGTTGTGCAGGTTGGGGTGGGGTTTCCTGGAAATATGCAAGCGTAGGGGACTATTTATCATTCCATTAATAACACACTTGTCGTGAAACCCTACAAAAACATTTGCAAGAGCTGGGCCTAGCAATATGTTAATATGTTTGCTATATTTGAATCTGCAGCTTCACGTACAGATTTCCCCACAACCCTTTAATGAGTTCAGTATTGTGCACAAATTTAAAAAGCAACAGTCAAATGAGCACCCTTTCCTCAATGTCCCACTTGAGCATTTGGCCACGGGTTCCTCCACTACCGGTACCGCAAACAACCCCTGATGTGTCGATATACGTGTTAGGATTCCTACAGCATAATGCACTATATAATTGGCCTTCTTAACAACCATATATATAGGGCGCAAGCCATTTGTTCAACGTGCAGGCTTGATGCTGAAATATGATGCACATCAAAGCCATCCTTCAGGTTAACGACTATCCTGCTCAGAATTTTTCACTGTGTGTGGGGAGGCGTTGGCCTAGTGGTATTATCGCTGGACTGTTGATCCAGAGACCCAGGGAATGTTCTGTGGACCTGGGTTCAAATCCCACCATGGCAGATGGTGGAATTTGAATTCAATAGAATATCTGGAATTAAGGAACTAATGATGACCATGAATCCATTGTCGATTGTCGGAGAAACCCATCTGGTTCACTAACATCCTTTAGGGAAGGAAACTGCCACCCTTACCTGGTCTGGTCTGTGACTCCAGACCCACAGCAACGTGGTTGACTCTGAACTGCCCTCTGAGCAATTCGGAATGGGCAATAAATGCTGCCTAGCCAGCGATGCCCTCATCTTGTGAATGAATAAAGAAAAAAGTCATGAACAAGTCTAAGACTATTAAATGCTGCTACTCTTCAGTTGCAGTGTGAGTGGTTTTTTTTTTTGTTTTAAAAAAAACCAGATACTGTGCCCAACCAGCCAGTGCTTGCAAATTCAATACGCAGTATCCAGTATTTAGATGTAATTCCATAAATGGATGACATTTGGTAAATAATCCTGCACATGCAAATAATTACATTGGCAACCAATTTAAGATTTTATTTTTATTCATTCCTCATATGTTAAGCCTTTCATTCCTGGGATCATTCCCGTGAACCTCCTGTCGACTCGCTCCAGGGCCAGTACTTTCTTACTTACCTTCCTGAGATATGGGGCCCAAAATTGCTCACAATATTCTAAATATGGCTTGACCAGAGCCTTATAAACCTTCAGAAGTACATCCCTGCTTTTATTTTCAAGCCCTCTCAAAATAAATGCCAACATTGCATTTGCCTTCCTGACTATTGATTCAACCTGCAAGTGTACCTTAAGAGAATCCTGGACTAGATCTCCCAAGTCCCTTTGCACTTCAGATTTCTGAATTTTCTCCCAATTTGGAAAATAGTTTATGGCTCTGTTCTTCTTACCAAAGTGCATGACCTCACACTTTCCCACATTGCACTCTATCTGCCACTTCTTTGCCCACTCTTCTAACCTGTCAAAATCCTTCTGCAGCCTCCCTGCCAACTCAATACTACCTGTCCCTCCACCTATCTTTGTATCATTTGCAAACTTAGCCAGAATGCCCTCCGTTCCTTCATCCCGATCATTAAAGTGAAAATTTGGAGGAGGGTTTCTGTCTCCAAAGAAACTACCTGATGTGCTGTCTATTTCTGGAATTTTCTATTTTTATTTAAAATAAAGAAAATGATGGAATGTAGGTTTGAATATGCCCTGGTGTGTCAAGCAATCTTTCAGTGGCTTCTCAAAACTATCAAATATGATGTGCTGCTGTATGGTCTAAATAGGAAGTTGCTATCGAAGACCAACATCACACTCACTGGCCAAAATATCAAACACTCCCCTGGCCCTAAACCTAGCATCTCATATCTAAAATTGATGTTACATTCCATGAAGCTGTTAATCAGTGGATTGCTTGGGAATACAGATGCATTAAATTGCTGAGAAATGCAAGTTGATCAGGTACAAAGCAATGCAAAACACAGGGGAATGTTTAATAAGTCATGAACAATTTAATTGTTCTCTACTACAGTGAAAGAGAGCCTTCGACAACCAAAACCCAGTTTGTTTTTTTTTAAATCAGAGATTGGAGGAGGACCAAAGATGGATGAGCTTGGAGACCTTAGGAGGGACAAATGAGAGCTTTCAGAATAGTGTAGGGTCTGCACTGCAGGGTGGTGGGTGTTTTGGAGGTCAGCTAGACACGGATACTGGCTCAAGCTCATGTGGAACGAAATTATTACCTACAGTCAACAGTCCTCACCTTTACTTTAGCTGTACAATTTCCAAAGGTCCATAGAACATGGCTAACTAGATTTAAATTTGAAAATATGGCATCATATGAATAGGATAATTGCAGCACAGAAACAGACTTATTCAGTCCATCAAACCCAAGCTGATTCTCTGAGCAGACAAGTGAGTCCCACCCTTTTAAAGATGATGAAATGTTTTCCCTTCAGTTGCTCATCTAATTCCCTTTAGAAAATTATGAATGAATCTGCTACCACCACCCCTTTGGCCAGTGCATTCCTAAGCATTACCATTTGCTGTGTAAAAACACTTCTCCTCCCATCTCCTTTGATTACATTGCCGGTCCAGTCTGCATTAAAACTGGAATTAGACAGATTGCTCTTTGGGTTGGAGCTAGAATTCAGAATTTTAACTTCCCACTCGACCAAAAGTGGCACATTTTAAGGGGATGAAATAAATCTCTGAATATTCGATTCACCAAAATTATTGACCTAACTCAAGTGATGCTGGAGTGAAATAAATTGCAGCTCTTCAGTTTTGTTCAAGGCCTTTGATGTGAATAATCCTTCTCAGAATTTCTAATCTTCTAATTTGTTTTAGTTTCTTAGTAATTAAGCAAATGAGCAACTATTTCTTACAGATTGAAAACATCAAGATCAAAACATCTCATATAAAGGTTGAAGTCCAGGATACGTTTGCAAAATCTATGGTGGTTTGTCTGGACAAGGATTCTAGAAGGATATACAGGGATGTTGTCAGGTTGGTGTACATGTCGTGTAAAAATATTATAGTGCTCAGTTTAAACTAGTTTTAGACATCAAGCTATTCGCTATAGCCATGGTTAGGTACTATCGCAGAGTCTCAGAATAATTACAATACAGGAGGTGGCCATTTGGCCCATTGTCCCTGCGCTGCTTCTATTCCTTAGTAACAACCTTTGCCTTTTCCCCATATCACTGTTCATCATTACTGTCCAAAATAACTATCCAATTCTCTCTTGAATGCCTCATGCTATTTTATTCTCTCTTTATTCTTGTCTTGTTCAGAGTAAAATCCCAAGGTAGATAATTTATCTTGATTCAATTTTGTGTTTTATTGAGTTTAACCTTTACCCTCCCGATAGGCTTTTTTAAAAAATATTATAAAAATTACAATGAATCCATTTGGATTCATGAGCAAATACCAAATTCTTCAAGAGAACATTTTTTTTATTTATTCAAAGCCTACTACAGTGGTCCGTTACAAACACTTTCAATACCCAAAAGTTGGAAATCAAGCCTTGAGTAATGACTTTCTGATATCCAGTTTTTCACGTGGCTTATGGGTAGGGGCTGTCAACCACAATTGGCAAGCATTATAATAAGTGATAATCCAGAAACATTGGAGCGTGAAACAATAAGAGAATTTAAACCAAGGCCCTGCCTGCTCTGTCTGGTGAACACACAAGATCCCATGGCACTATTTCATTTGAAGAGCCAGGATAATTGCTGAGTCAATATTTATCATCAACATCGCAAAAAACTGATCAAACTCACATTGCTGTTTGTGAGAGCTTGCTGTGCACCTGTGTCTGAAGTTTATATCCATGACTATGCTTCCGAAGCACTTCACTGACAATAGAGTACTTTGGGATGGCAGTGGTCTTAAAAGGTGCTATTAAATCCAATCTTTTAAAATAGGTTTCCCTTTCCCCACTGTGAACTAGCACTAAATCTGAGGTACTTATCATGCCTTATCAAGGAACACATTTAAATCAGATAAACATAGAAGAAAATGAATCCACATTGTCCATGTAAATAAACACCTAGTGGCTTGCTATTTTATTCTCTCTTCATTCTTGTCTTGTTCAGAGTAAAATCCCAAGGTAGATAATTTATCTTGATTCAATTTCGTGTTTTATTGAGTTTAACCTTTACCCTCCCGATAGGCTTTTTTAAAAAATATTGAAAGTTAATTTGACAGTTCCTTTTCTTTTTAAAAAATAAATAACTAGTCAACTATTTGAATTTAAGAGTTTGAAAAATGTTGTTCATTGATTTTATTTTTTGTTTTAAATAACATAGCGTTGAAGTGTCTCCATGTTTGGAACCTGGATACAGCTTCCACAAAATGAGGTCACTGAGATTTGGTCACAGTCAAGCAGAAAATGTTGGATTAACTAAGTACATGCCAAAATCCCTGCTGTTACCGATCAACACATTTGTCGGTATTCTGTAAGTCGAACTACCTGTTTCAACCTGGGCAACGGGTCACTTTGCCTGAAGAAACCAATCATTTGAAGCTGCTAGAATAGTAGACCAGAGTCACAATTACAAATCCAATTGTTCGGGAATACCTCTTCTGTGTGATGCAATATTTAAAAACAATAGAGCTGCACAATATTATAGACATTTCCTTCAAGCCTGAAAGCCCAAAGAATGGAACATGAACCCGCCGAATACCAGACGCACTGGGCGGAGTAGCTTGAAACTGATTGAAAGTTATCTGCAGCAAATCATAAATGAAGGGTTTTGATGATGAAATCGACTTTTATTTTTGTCTGGAAATTATTCTTGACACTATAGGCAGGATCTTGTATTTTGGTTCAGGACCCAGCATTGGGTCAAGTGGGTGCCCAGAGCCTGCACTATGTTAGAAGTATTCGCCCAACAATGTCAATTGGTTGATCAGTAGCCAAAGATGCAATTGCTGTCTGATTTAGGTACCTCAAAGCTGGGTAGACCCTGGGTGGCCCTCCAGTATGGATGGAGTTGCAATGTCCCATTTACAGATAGGGGAGAGAGAGGATTAAACCGTGTTGACATGTCCTCTCTCAATGTTTAACAAATGTCAACTTTTAAATAAAAGAATGTCCCTAGCTGCTGGATCATCATTATGGAGGGTGAACCTCTCCACAGGGCACCTTCTGGTGTAGCCGGATGGGTAGGGATCAAGGACATTTGGGAATGTTGGCTCCCTGGCCTGCTCTTAGGAGTTTGCCTCCTCCAGTTAGTGTTTGATACTTGTCCTCCATTGACCTTTTTAACTAGACATATTGGGCAGGTGGTAATTTGACCTTATACCAGCCTCCAGCTAAATGGCTGAGGGGGCTAGGATGGTATCAGTCACCCAGAAAGCAGAATGAAGTTCACACCTGTTCACCCAACCCCTTCCCATCCCATTCTCCCCCTCCACCTCACCATCCCACCCAATTCCGGGATGAAAATCTTGCCCTGTATTTCAAGAGATATTCTATTGTTTGTGTTTACATACTGTGATTTTTTTTTAATTTTGCTGTCAAAATTGTTTGTTACGAATTTTCAACGCAATAAAATTAGTCTTAACTGGATTCAGATCAGCACAGTAAAATCAACCATTGTAAATAGAGTAATGATAATTTGAGCTTATAACTATCAGTATTCACCCAGTGTTTGAACCCACTATTGTTATACTAACAGCTAACCTATTTGTTACAATGTGTAATGGAATTCTCAGAAATTGGTCTTCAATACATGACATTCCAGGAGGTCTTGTGGCACTGTGTGGTGGCGTCCCTACATCTGGACTAGAAGCTTCATGTTCAAGTCCCACTCAGCACCTTTTGGCCATGGATGGTGTATTTGTAATTAATCTTACAGCTCAGAAGGAGGTCATTCAGCCCATCATGCCTACATCAGCTCTTCACATGAGGATCTTAGTGCCAACTCCTCTATTTTCCACATACCGTTGCACATTAGTTTTACCCAGCAAAAAAATTCATGAATGCTTCAACTGAACCTGCATCCATCACATTTCCAGACAGTGCATTCCATAACCTCAATCACTTGCTAAATGACAACGATTTTTCTCGTACTATTCTTGCTTCTTTTGCAAATCACTTTAAATCTATGCCCTGTCGTTCTTGTTCCATTTACAAGCACGAATAGTTTCTCCCTATGCACTATCCAGCCCACTCATGATTTTGAAAATGTCTATTAGATCTCCTCTTTGGCTTCATTCTTTCCAAGTACCATCCCAAATTCTTCAACCTGCCCTCAAACTGAAGTTTGTCATTCCTGGAACCATTCTTGGAACCATTCTTGGAAATCGCTTTTACACGCTCTCCAGTGCATTCACATCTTTCCTATAATGTGGCAACTGGAGCAATTTACAGTACTTCTGCTCATGTCTAACAAGTATCTTGTAGGTTGATTGTCAGCCTGTAAATCCTTCGACTGGTCCTTCTGATGGCAGGCTGGAGAAGCAGGAGGGGGAACCATCCTGCAGAAGGCAATGGCAAAGTACTAGAGTACTTTGTCCATAAATGTGGATGAATCCAGTGGAAGTTCATGTTTCAGTAAACAAGGACAGGAGAAAAAAGAACAGTTAGAAAGATGAATGGAGTTGCAATGGCCTTCATAGGGAGGTAAGAAATATTTGGGAATAATTAACTAATCCAGCGTTTCCTGTGACTGGGGATGGTGGTATTTGTAGTTACAATATCCCACTGACTACTGGAGGCTGAATTACTGAATACCTTCAATGCTGACATAGAAGGACTATTAAAACATAGAGAAGCCAGAGTTTGGTGATCAGGCAGGAAGAGGGAGTTGAGAACAAGCTTACATCAGTCATAATGAGAACTGGAGTAGGCTCAAAGAGCCATATAATCCAGTCCTTTTTGTACGTTCTTCTTAAGAAATATTCTAAAAAAAAATTAACAAAAAATAATCCCAGATCTCTCATGCAGTGATTTATTTTGTCTTGAAACAGAAATTGAAGCTGTATGTTAGCCACCTTTTAGAATATAATTGCTAACATCATAAAATTGTAAACTAAAAATATTTTTTTGTGGAAAGAATTTACAGAACTATTCATAAACAGTGCAGGTTCAAAACATATCAAAGGTGCTGGTGTTATTGCTGTGATTTTAATTTTTAAAGAAAAGTATCTTCTGATTCAGAATGGAGAGCAATGGACTATGTGTCTGGAAAGTTGCTTCACTACATAAGAATAAATACACTCGGGGTGGGGGAGTGTGGTCACAGGCTGGTGAAGGAAAAATGATTTCTTATGGTAACTACTTGGAACAAAGTCACAAACTCCCTCTTTCTGCTTGGAAGGTGCATTTGTAATTAGTCAAATAGGTTGATTATCAGCCTTTAAATCCTTCTAATACACTTGGTAATTTATATAGAAATAATGAACACAGGAAATCCTTTTCCATAACATTTTACACTGTTACTTCTGTTTGATTTGCCACCTGACCACATGTCTGTAAAAGTTTGTGATATGTACTTGTGTGTCCTATATATATAGTATTTATTGAAATATGTTTCTGTAAAGCTAATATTATTTTTACATAATTAAAATATAACCAGATTGTTTAGTACTACTGAAAGCCTCTGAATATTTTTCACCAATAATTCAATAACACACTTTGGGAAACAACTATTTAAAATGGGACTGCATCAGATGTTGCACTTTATGCCTCTGAATGTCTAAGTTTGAATTCACCCTCTCAATGGCAGAATTTTCTTCACTGATCACTACTGTTTAATAGTGTAAGGGTTTGAAGGGCTTAGTGCTGAGGTTGTCCTAAGACAGCACCCACTGTATTGATGCCATGTAGACAGAAGACAGAGTAGATTTGAATCATGAAGGAGTAACATCTAGATCCTCTTCATAGGCTTCTTAACAATGTCTCTCATATCAGTGCAACCAACAACTAGGTCCTACATGCAATAATCTATATATTGTTCAGTACAAGAACCTCCTCTTGTTAGACCAGTAAGTGTTTTTATTGTACCACACTAGATAAAGCAGGCCCTGTAGGTCCCTTATACACTCGAAAGGGGATAGAGGGAGCAAACTTAACCATGATGAGATAAAACCATGAATTCTGGAAATCTGAAATAAAAACAGAAAAAGAAAATACTGGAGAAACTTGGCAGGTCTGGCAGTCTCTGAGGAGAGAAAGCAGAGTTAGCGCTTTGAGTCCGGTGACCCTTCTTCAGAACAGGCCTTGCATTCATCTAATGACTCATGGAGTTTGTTATGACCATGTTCTAGGCCTTTTGTCAGGAGATGACTTCATTGATGTTTGCTTTCTTTATGCCCTCCTTACCAATCCCTCCTACTTCTGACATTGAAATCACCAAGGAAAATCAGCTTGTCTCCTTTGGGACACAGAATGATGATTGAATTCCTGTTTGGCCTCTGTTGCTTCTAGGGTTAGGGCTACATTCTGACTGTGGGGTACTGATTCTGGGTTAGGGTGAGCTCAAAGCGTCATGAGGCATTTGTTTATCCCATGGAGGCTCTCAAAAACAGTCGACTAGTTTGCTTTTTTATGGTAAAGTGAACCCCATGAGTTAACGTTCTTCTAGCATATCCTTGCCATTTTGCTCTTTGAGCTGAACTGCCCACCGTGGCTCACTCAGGACAGCGATAGCAGTCATAGTGCTGAAGTTCCCAAGTGGCGATAGTGACGTGATCTTCAGATCTGCTACGGCAGTTTCAGATCCCATACTTCATTTTGAGGGTGGAAGCAGGCCATGCGTGGGGTGGTCATTTTAAACAGACTGCCTCTCAAACCTGGGGAGTAACATCTTTGTCCCATGTTGGTGATAACCGAGGCGACTGGACACCAGGTTCTGCTACATGCAAAAGGCTAACATACATGTTGCTGTTCCTGACTTAGAAGCATTCTCACAGTCCTGTTTGCTTGTGGATCAGTGTCTAAGGTGGGGAGGGGACCACATGTCCTATCTCCCACATTCCCTTGAAATTTATCCCACTCTGATCTTGGCTGCATTTCTCTCTCCTGGATGTCTTTGCGATTTCTCTTGCTGTGATCCAGGTCTCATACTCCCTCTCCCTGATGTGCTCAAGGTTTCTCTCACTCGGATCCAAGAATATATATCATTGGGAGTATAGAGGGTAGTGTGATCACTTACCAAGGTTGAAAAGAAGCAACAGATACTTTTGAAGAAGTGCTGAAAGCCTTTAATAATTACATCAATCTCAGATCAATAAAATTCTTGAAAGAGGAAGATTTAATAGGGTTCAGTATCCACAGCAATGTTAATCTCTACAAGATAGCAGAGAAATGTGGCTTTGCTAACTTAAAGTCAGAATTCATAAGAGGCATAATTATTGTCAGAATTGCTGATGAGTCTGTAAATTTATTACATTCCAAGGACAAACTGACAATAGAGCAAGTCATTCAGATGGTGAATGAGGTAGAAGTTCAAAAGAAACACCAATCAAGCATTGCTAGTTGGTGGGAAGCTGTCGGAGGGTGGAGGAGCAGCACAGAGTGAGTATAAACCTACTGGACCTCGGAGCACGTTGTCGCTAAGAAAAAGACTGGAGTGACATTATAGGGAGGCTATGATCTGATTGGCCGGTAGAAAATCTGCACTAAATTTGAAAAAGAACATAGCAAAGAAGTATCAATAAATTTATTTAACTCAGAGTAATTAACTAAGTAGAAATGGCTGGACAGGCGATGTGTTGCTGTATGATGTGGGAGCTCCCTGATCCCATTGCAAACGATGGTGACCACATCTGCAGCAAGTGTTGGTTGCTTGAGCTGGAATCTGAGCTTCAGACACTGTGGCACATCCGGGAGGGGGAGAAGTACCTGGACGCTGTGTTTCAGGAGGCAGTCACACCTGGTAGATTAAGTACTTCAAATTTGGTCAGTGACCAGGGACAGCAGGGGGTGACTGCAAGTGAGGCAGGTAGAGGGATCCTACATTCAGGAACAGAGGAGACTCAGCTCTTGGCCTTGTCCAACAGGTACTTGCTCCCTTTGTGGATAAGGAAAAGTGCTGCAGGGAGGATGAGCCAACTGACCACTGCATTGTAGTACAGGAGGCCATTCAAGAAGGGTAGTTGCAGGGGATTCTATAATCAGTGGAATAGATACCATCCTCTGTAAGCAGGTTTGAAAGTCCCACGTGATATGTTGGCTGCATGGAAAAATATGAAAAATATGACAGGAAAGGAGAACTCAGGAGAGGTTATTAAAGTCTCCAGCACAGACACAAATAGGACAGTGTTTTGAAAGGGTTAGGAATCAAACTTCAAGCACACTGGATAAATAAATGACAATGAAAAGAGGGACACTTATTTCAGGACGGAAGGTGTTATATCTGAATGCATGCAATATAAGAAATAAGGTAAATGAGCATGTGGTGCAGATCGAAACTGGCAGATATGACGTGGTAGGCATCATGGAGACGTGGCTGCAAGGGGATCAGGATTGGGAGCTGAATATCGAAAGGTATACATCCTATTGAAAAGATAGGCAGGTGGGCAGAAGGGGTGGGGTTGTCTTATTAGTAAGAAATTAAATTAAATCAATAGTAAGAAATGAAGTAGGGTCAGATGGTGTAGACTCTGTGTGGGTAGAGCTGAGGAGCCACAAAAGGTTTTTAAAAAAAAAAACCATAGTTGAAATTATGTACAGGCCTCCAAACAGTGGTCAGGATCTGGTGTGCAAGATACACCAGGAGATAGAAAAGGTGTGTAAGAAAGGCAAAGTTACAGTGATCATGGGGGATTTCAATATGCAGGTGGACCGGGAAAAACAGGTTGGTAGCAGATTGCAAGAAAAGGAATTTGTGGAATGTCTTCGAGATGGATGTTTGGAGCAACTTGTGGTGGAACCCACTAGGGAACAGGCCATTCTGGATTTAGTGTTGTGCAATGTGGCAGACTTGAGAAGGGAGCTTAAGGTGAAGGAACCCTTAGGGGGGAATGAGCATAATATGATTGAATTTACTCTGCGATTTGAGAGGGAAAAGAGAATCAGAGGTATTACAGTTGAATAAAGTCAACTGTAGAGGCATGAGAGGCATGTCAGAATTGACAGAGAGGAGCCTAGCAGGAAAGACAGTGAAACAGCAAGGGCAGGAGTTTCTGGGAGTAATTCAGGAGGCACAGCAAAAATTCATCCCTAGGAAAAAGAAGCATGGTTACAGGGAGGATGAGGCAACCGTGGCAGGCTAGGAAAGTCAGGGATAGCAAAAAAGCAAAAGAGAAAGTATATAATGTGGTGAAGGGCAGTGTGAAACCAGAGGATTGGGAAGCCTACAAAGACCAACAGAGGGCAACAAACAGAAATAAGGTGGGAGAAGATTAAATATGAGGATAAGCTAGCCAGTAATATAAAAGGAGGACTGTAAGAGTTTCTTTAGATATAGGAAGGGCAAAAGAGAGGCAAAGGTGGACATTGGACTGCAGAAAAAGACGCTGTAGAGATAGTAGTGGGGAACAAGGAAATGGCTGTGGAACTGAATAGTTACTTTGCATCAGTCTTCACTGTAGAATCAAGAATAATATCCCAAAAATTCAACAGAGTTGGGAGCAGAGCTGAGTACAGTGACCAACACTAAGGAGAAGGTGCTAGAAAAACTGAATGACCTGAAGGTGGATAAGTCACCAGGACCAGATGGACTACACCCCAGCGTTCTTAAGGAGATAGCTGAAGAGATGGTGAAGACATTAGTGGTCATCTTTCTGGAATCGTTAGAGTCAGGCAGTGTCCCAGAGGACTGGAAAATTACTAACATGACACCCCTGTTTAAAAAAGGAGCAAGGCAAAAGACAGAAAATTACAGGCCGATTTGCCTAACCTCGGTTGTGGGTAAGATTCTAGAGTCCATTGTGAAAGATGAGATTTCTGAATACTTGGAAGTGCATGGTAAAATAGGATAAAGTCAGCATGGTTTCATCAAGGGGAGGTCATGCCTGACAAATCTGTTGGAATTCTTTGAGGAGATAATGAGCAGATTGGACCAAGGAGAGCCAGTGGATTTTATCTACCTGGATTTCCAGAAGGCCTTTGACAAGGTGCCGCACAGGAGGCTGCTGAGTAAGATAAGGGCCCATGGTGTTACAGGCAAGGTGCTCGCATGGATAGAAGATTGGCTGTCTGGCAGAAAGCAGAGAGAGGCGTTAAAAGGGTCTTTCTCAGGATGGCAGCTGGTGACAAGTGGTGTTCCACTAGAATCAGTGTTGGGACCACAACTTTTCACTTATATATTAATGATCTAGATGAAGGAACTCAAGGTATTCTGCATGCTTATCTAGATGATACAAAGATAGGTGGATGGACAGGTAGTATTGAGTTGGTGGGAAGACTAGAGAAGGATTTGGACAGGTTAGGGGAGTGGACAAAGAAGTGGCAGATGGAGAACAACGTGGGAAAGTGTGAGGTCATGCACTTTGGTAAGAAGAATAGAAGCATGGACTATTTTCGGAATGGGGAGAAAATTCAGAAGTCTGAAGTGCAAAGAGACTTGGGAGTTCTAGTCCAGGATTCTCTTAAGGTAAACTTGTAGGTTGTGTTAGTCGTCAGGAAGGCAAATGCAACTTTGG